ACTGAACACAGTACTCCAGGTGCGGCCTCACCAGAGCTGAGGAGAGGGGCAGAATCACCTCCCTTGACCTGCTGGCAACGCTCCTCCTGATGCAGCCAGGATCCCATTGGCCTTCTTGGCCACGAGGGCACACTGCTCACTCATGGTTAACTTRGTGTCAACCAGGACTCCCAGGTCCCTCTCCGTGGAGGTGCTTTCCAGCAGGTCCACCCCTAATCTGTACTGATGCCTGGGGTTATTCCTCCCCAGGTGCAGGACCCTGCACTTGTCCTTGTTGAACCTCATGAGGTTCCTCTCTGCCCAACTCTCCAGCCTGTCCAGGTCCCTCTGGATGGCAGCACAGCCCTCCGGAGTGTCGGCCACTCCACCCAGCTTGGTGTCATCCGCAAACTTGCTCAGGGTGCATTCCGTGCCCTCGTCCAGGTCATTGATAAACAATTTTAATGATGTTTAATTAGCCCTGAATTACTGCTGAAGAAATTCAGTGCAGAAACCTTTCCCTATAATACTGATGACATCAGTATTTTTGAACCAAAAAGGGGAAAAAGCTTACAATTAATTATAGGCTATTAGTCTCATAGTATTACCTGTGTGTACAGCTTTAGTTTTATTTTCATCCTCAGAAAAGTCTAATGCCATAAGCTTATCAGAATCCCTCTCTTGCTATTCCTTTCCTAAATTAAGATCATCTCCACACCTAATAGCAGCTGCAGTTATGTCAGTCGGTGCTGAGTACACGTGAGTAGGTTCAGGATAACTGATGCTGTAAGTAGCCCTTGATGGGCAAGACAGACCCTGTTCTCTGCCAACACTTGAAATGTTGCTGCAGGAAGCTGAAACCCTCACGAGTTACTGAGGAAGGGAGGCTGGGCAGATGGGCCGGTAAATGCAGTTGTGTGAGGGAGCAGCTCTTAGCTGTTCCTTGGGATTCGCATGGATTTGCATCCTCTGATAATGTTTGGGTGTTTCGAGGAGGACCTTTGAGGACAACCTTTTCAAGGAGGACCTTTTAATCATCCCCATACTGTTATTTATTTCCTCTGGCCCTGGTTTTCTTTACATTTTTCTTCTCAAATGCATTCTTTCTCTTTTTTTTTTTTTTTTTTTTCCTCCAAATAAAACTGGAAAAAGGTTTCTTTAAGCATCAAGATTGCTGGGAAGGATGCAGAGAGCTGATGTGAATTCAGCATTGATGCTGCTTTATGGTAGAGAACTTAAGGCTGCAAAAGAAATGTGAATTTCAGAAGATAAGGACGTWTGGCGGGGCAGCCAGCACTTTCTGTTGCAGAGGCTGTCAGAGGTAGTTTTTGGTGTAGCTGAATAGCTTTGTGCCCTTTTGCAAATGTAGGAAATCCAGAGGAAGTCACTTAAAAAGCAGTAGAGAGTTATCAGGAGATCACGCTCCCAAGGAGCTGCGTGTTTGCTCCACACTGGATACGTGGAGAGCGGATTCCTTTTTAGCAGATTTGAACTTTGTGAATAGTGTCTGGAAGATTTGTGCTAAGCTCTAAACTGGGGACAGAGGCGGTTTAGAATGAGGCATCTGTAACCCAGTTTGATATTCTTCAACAAAATTATGTTTCTTTTCTTTAGAAATGAATTAGCAGCATTATTGAATTTGGGGATTATGCAACCAATAATCACCTATTTATCAAATTTTAAAACCCTGTTTGTGACAGTTATTTGTAGTGATGGGTCATGGCTGTCAGTGGTCTTTAATTTCATTTATTGCAGCCTGTTTCTTCTGCTTGGCTGGTGGATGCTTTTCCTTTTATAATGTAGTCTTCTATTGCCTTTCTTTGGGGAGGCAGGAGAAAATCATGAAAGGAGCCAACCTGCAAGTCGTTATTGGGGATTATTGAGAGCTTTGAGTGCTGGGTGCACCAGGGTTAGAGCTTGTGTGGAGACCACACGACTCTTGGGCRTTTGTAGCTAATCTTTAGCTTCTGAAGAGAAGAACTAACGCAGCAGCATTGGGATGTGAAAACCCTGTGGCAGGGTGGCACCTTATGAGTGGTTTCCTGACTGCTCTCAATCGCCGTGCTCTGGCAGTGGTTTTTGTGAAAACTAAACTACTAAAAAAGTAGTTGAAGAAACTTGTGATTCAAGCATACTTGAGTTAATTAAAATAATCTGGATTTCTGTAATCAATTCTCCTTTAATTATATTTTTTCATAAGACGTAATGCTGAGTTGGCTGTTGCCTGGGCTCCTTTGGCCAGCGCTGTATTCCAGCCCAGTCCGTTGTCCTCCCTGTGCCCGTGCTGTCACTTGTAGTGTTCTGCTCAAGTGTTGGCCGCACAAATACCTGGTCTTGGCTGAGGGAGGTGCRGGATCCCGTCCGCCCTCCCGAGGGGCCTCTGCTTCCCTCGTCCCTCAGAAAAGCCTTGTTCTTTCCCGTACTGAGTTTGGACTTGCTTCCATTTCCAGCTACTTGTGTGTTTTACTTGAGATCCAAGAGCTCTTTTGTGCCTGATGGTTTCTCACCATGAGGTACTTGCATCCTATAACACAGATACTTCTCAAGCTCCTTTTTTCAGGCAATTAAATGCATCTGGTGCTCTACGTTATTTACTGTAAAGCAAGGCACTTTGCAGAAGCGCTTTCTCCAGCACAGAAGTCCTTTATCTTTACTYTTCCTTTACTCTTTAATTCTCTCATGTTTCGTGAGCACGGTTTACACCAGAATAGGGTCCTGTACCCAGGTCACCAGTTCTATATGCAACAGAAGATTATATCTCTGCAGCCAGCGATCCCATTAGTCCCGTGTGCTCCGGGATGGTGCTGAGCTGTWTGCTGGGGTCTTCATCTGGGGTGATTCTGCACACAGAGCTGGGATATCATCTCGTGCTGTTAACCTGCATTATACAGGTTGCTCAGGGCCTTGGCCAGGCAGGGTGCGGACGTCCCCAGGGACGGGAATCCTGCAGCCTCTCTAGGGCCGTGACCAAATACTTGACTGCTCTCTCGGGGATTCTGTTTTCCTCTGAATGCAAATGACTCCTGATGGTTTGGGGTGTTTTGATGTGTGTCTCTAAGAGAAGCCGGCCTTTCTCTTTCCTGTACTTTACCAGGACGCAGCTGGAGATGGGAATTCAGTGGCACCACGTTGGTCTGAATGGGGCGGGCGGCAGGAGCAGCGCCCTGTGCTTTGCTCGAGGTTTGGGCCGTTGGTCTCCTGCTGGATCCCAGGATCCCAGAATGGCTGAGGTTGGAAGGGATCCCTAGGGATCCCCCAGCGCAGGCCCTGCTCCCGCAGGGACACCCAGAGCACGGGGCACCCGGGCGCATCCAGGCGCCTTGGGAAGATCTGCAGAGCAGGAGCCTCCGCAGCCTCCCTGGGCAGCCTGGGCCAGGGCTCGGGCACCCTCACACCAAACAAGTTCTTCCTCACGGSCACACGGAGCTGCCTGGGCTTCACCTTGTCCCCATGAGGATCAGCGCCTGGAATGCACCCATGGGTGACGCTCTGCCCGCGGCCGAGCTGCACCCGGCAGGCGTTTTGGGAGAGAAACTTCAGCAAAGCTGGTTTCCTGCTTTCTATTTTTGAATGCTGGATTAGAGGACGTAGCATTTCGGCAGCCTCATCCCTTTTCAAATGCTACCGTGATTTCAAATAACCTTTAAACCAAAAATGAAATCTCATTACAAAATGCCATCCTAATTTGGAACAACAGTTTGGTAATTTGTTTCTGTGATATTAAATTAAATGTTTTGCACGGTAGAACTAAGGTAACATTTACTTAAAATCCATGCACCATTACAAGGTATCATTRCTTGCATTATTCCAGAATTTGGGGCGTTTTGTTTCTAATTAATCAAGAGACTCTCGAGCTTTGTTCTCGTTGCGCGGATCAAAGCGTGAGCTCTGAAGGGACCTTCAAGTGCCRGCGCCCTCTCGGCGTGGGAACAGGCGCTCTGCCCGTGCTCAGCCCCACGGACCCTCCTCACCCTCAGCATGGCGCTGAGGAAGGACCAAGGAAGGACCACGTGTCTGGGAGCGTCTGCAAGACGCRGGTTTATTCATCAAACTAAGAGCCAAGTAAAGCCTAATCTCTAGTCTCCCTTGGGAGTAAATCCCTGCTGCTGAGGCCCTGCAGGTGCCTGGAGGGCAGCAGGGCTGGGGTTTGGGGCACACGGGTGTTTCTACGTAGAAATTAGTAAAGGCGGTCGTTACTGCTCTGCGTGAGGCTTCTGTTCTTCYCTGATGGAATTGAACTTTCCAAGACGGCTCGTAATAAGCAACTGCAAAAAAATCCCTGGGAGCAGGAATATGCTTGTGCCTGATGGAATAAAGCCCAAATTAATTAATTTGGAGCTCTTGCGTTGCAAGGGCTATCTTTATTTTGTTCCCATTTGCGATGAGTGAGGTCTGTTGTGGGGATCTAATTTTCCTTAAGCTACTGCGGTGGGAGCAATTAAGTGATATCTGTATTTTAATCAAGAGAAGTGTGTGCAAAGGGCTGGAATGAATTCACCTGTTTGAAGTGAAGTGCATGTAAGTAAAAGAAGGGTATATGCATCAAATTACTGTATTAAATTGGTGCTTTAAGGGAAAACAGATGSGTTCACATGATCAGCGCTCTAGTCGATCCTGCTATTAGGATGCAAATTAGTCTGCTATTTATTGCCAAAGCTTGATAAACTATTTTGTCGAAGCAATATTTAAATTGAAAGTCATACATACGAAATAAGTTGCAGAGATAAAAAAAAAAAGAAAAAAGAAAAAAAAGGATGAAATCTAAGTGCTAGTRGAAGTAAAAGAGAAATATTATTGATATTATCACATTACTGTGCGTGTTATGCTATCCAAAGCCTGGTAGCAAACACGGATCTGGTTGTGTGAGATGCTGTAAAAATAAGAAATGTAGGTGTTAACTCTTCTTGCGAAGTCCTAAAATRCGTATTTGGGGTTTGGTTGCGAATTGTCAGTGTTGGGGCCATTTTCATGTGATTTTGACCGTTTCTGGGCGCGCGGCGGCGCCCTGTGCTCTCCCGCAGACCTGGACGACCCCGTGGTGACGGTGCACCAGAGCATCGGCGAGGCCAAGGAGCAGTTCTACTACGAGAGGACCGTGTTCCTGCGCTGCGTGGCCAACTCCAACCCGCCCGTGCGCTACAGCTGGCGGCGCGGCCAGGAGGTGCTGCTGCAGGGCTCCGACAAGGGCGTCGAGATCTACGAGCCCTTCTTCACCCAGGTAGGGGTCCGCTCCCGCACCGGGTCCTGCTCGTGCGAGCACGAGCCTCTACACTGGGATCCAAAGCAGTCACAAAGAGGGACACAGGGGGAAGCCACTGGCCCCACTGATTCCCAGTGCCATGCAAAGTTCTTCTGCACAGAAGCTGAAGCCTAAAAAGCTACAACTTCTCTTTCCTTTATTCTTTTACTGTGCCTTGTGCTGCTTTGGCTGTAAGTTTTTGTTCCAGAATTACACACTTAAATGATGAGGAGGCAAAAGTGGAAGGAGCTGTTCGTGCAAGTCCTTGCACTTGCAGGCAGGAAGGCAGAGCGGGCATTGCACCCGTCTGTCAGCTCGAGTCCCATTGAATTATTGTTAGCACGTTTGCACCGCCTCCGAATCAAAAGGTGGCATTTGCTATTGCCTGCACACAACAGTGCGGGATGGGGTTGCAAAACAGCAGGGCACGGGGGAGAAAAATGGAGAACAAATAATATGGGAAAGCCTCAAGCAACATGAGTGAAGACAGAAGCAGAAAATGCCTGGCGATTTGGCTGTAAAGCAGAAAGCAACTTGCGACTTTYATAAATAATTTCCAGCTAATGATTTGAGAGCACCTTCCTTTTCACTAAATCTTTACATGTTTATTGTACTTGGCAGCTTTTTATTGCTGAAATAGTTTGGTATTCAACAGAGCCACGTGTGGACTGGAAGCTTGCAGAGATGCAAATTAGATTACATGGCCAAGTTATTGGGCTCCCAAAAGTGACGAGATTATTTTTAATTTAACATGTACAGACGCAATTTAGGAAGTCTGAGGCTTGTTTCCTTGGAATCTGGCACAGATGTGTAAACTGGAGTTTTCAAGTGTTTTTAATTAAGAAGTGACAGACTCCCTTGAGGTAGGACTTTTAGTCTTGTAATATCTCAGTATGGAAATGCTGGTTATTACCTTTCCTACTATTCAGTAAGTAGAGATCTAATAAAGTATGCCACATTAAATTAGATTCCATGCTTTTTTTTTTTGCTTTTTTTTTTTTTTTTTAAAGGATGGTTCCTAGGTTACTAGGAACATCCTTCCTAGGACGTCTGTGGGTGCTGAATTAAGGAATAAATCAGATTGTCAGGTTGATAGTCAAAAGCTTATCTATAACCTTTTTGCATTTATTGGAGGTCAGATTGAATTAGAGTATTTTGTCTGTGTGTCTATAGAATCTGATATATGTTTCTAAGAGGAAAAATTGTAATTAAAGGTTCAAGAGGCATAAATGTCTCCTACACATCTCTGCATAATTGGCTCTCCTTATGATACGGTAAAAACSTGGGAGAGCTGCTGAGGAGAGGCCTCGAAGGGGTTCGACTTCAGAGCATCCAGAGATGGGGCTTTGAGGTGGCATTTTTTTGTCCATCACTTTAAAGCTCGATTATGCTGGGAAAACTAAATGAAATGTAAAGAAAAACAAGCAGCAATGTAATCAACTTTGGTATAGGACTGTAGCCAAAAAAAAAAGTTACCTGTGCTTTCCAATGGAGTTCTTTATTTAATAGAAGGCACTTTGAAACAAGCTCTTGAACTTGGAGCACAGGTATTTTCTGCGGAGTCAGGCAATGTGAGCTGCTCATTTGTGAAAGGGTGTGAAACACGGAACTTTCCCAAGCCAAAATCTTGGTGCACATTTTTTTCCCTCAGCRTTTGCATCGTCCTCATTGCGCATTGTAATTGCACAGCCCGAGTATGAGATTAAATTTGCTGTATTTACAATAATTATGCAATTAGACATAATTAGACTAATTATCCAAATCAGTGAAGAAAATATATATATTTTTACAAATCTTAGCAATCTGGGGGACATGATCTGGAATACCATTGTGAATTCAGTTTAGGATTCACAGCGCAGGGTTTAATTTGCGCGCTGCGGCAGCTCCCTGCTTGGATCTAATCCAGAGGTTAATGACTCGGGTAGCTGTGTTCCTGTTAACCTGCAAGGGCCCTGGACGGGCACTTGCCTCGCCAGRAGAATCCTCCTTTCCAGGTGGGATCTCTGTCTTGGTGGGCGCTGAGCAGCTCCGGGCCTCTCCTGCACGCCCTGAATCAGCAGGAGCTTCCCCTCCAGCAGCAGCGTTTCTGCACGGCGCCTGCGCCTCCAGAGGAGCTCTAGGAGCTGCCCTGCACGACGGTCTCTTCTCAAGTGTAGCTCTAATTTTCTGGAGGGTCGCTAGTCCCAATCTGCATTTTCACAAGTGGTTATTTTCCTGCACAAGTCTGCGCGCTCGTTGCAGCTGATGCTGTCCGAGCAATTCAGTGCACAGCCCGAGCTTTGCTGCTAGGAGCTGCTGTAGTGGCGTTCACAGGGCACGCGGGATGGAGAGTTTTTCAAGGCTTGCTCTTTTGCTGCTTTTTCACGTTGTTCCTCAAGGGAAATCTCCTGTTGGGGTTTTCTGCTGATGCTGTCAAAGGGAACCCGCTCGTTATGTCCCCTGCTCGGGTYGCTGCTCAGTTGTTCACACTGCTGCACCAAAGAAAGTCCACCAAAGCAGGCAGCTCACTGTCCAAGGGAGTCAACAGCAATCCTGTATCTTAGGATTTTTCCATTATGCAGACTTTATCTTAAGATGTTATCCGGCATAATGGTGTGGCTTCAGAGCCTCTGCCAAAGCAGTGTCCCCTTTGCCCCTCTCTCTGTCACTGCCATTAATGTCTAAGTAAGTGCCAACCTTTCAGGTTATGCCAGCCGCCATCTATTCAGATCATTAAAATAAAATATGTTTTCGGGGCCAACATTTGCTGCTAATTAACCTCCCCCTGTCTGTTCCCCGAGTCAGCCGTGGCGCCGGCTTGTCCTAACGCTCTGCCTCGTGTGCGCAGGGGGAGACCAAGATCCTGAAGCTGAAGAACCTCCGTCCCCAGGACTACGCCAACTACAGCTGCATCGCGTCCGTGCGCAATGTCTGCAGCATCCCGGACAAGATGGTCTCCTTCCGGCTCTCCAATAAAACAGGTACCGCCGGACCCTGCCCCTTCCCAGCCCGCCCGCCGTTTCCACGGTCTCTGGCTTGATTTTGGGGAGYGTGAGCGATTGATTTGGGGTGTTTTTTTTTCCTCGCCAAAACTAGGATTCAAGGAAGAGTCTTGATTTCTCGCTCTGTGTGTTCATTGCTCTCTGGATATTATGTCGGATTTTACGTTTCCCTTGGAGGTTGTGGGATTTCACTCTTCTGGCTGGTGTTTAGCTCAGAGATGATGGAATGTGGTAAGAGGAAAGGGTAYCTTGATCCAGGCTGCACAGGAAGTAAAGCAGAAGAAATGTTCCAGACTCTCAGAAATGTTATTTTTATCAACAAAATTGTTTTAGGAATATAAATTTGTTTTTGTAGTCCTTTAATTTCTTGCACTGTCTTAAAGAAAGGGGTTTGGGGTTGTGGTGTTGTTCTTTTCTGGGGTGTAATTGGTTCAGGTGGAACCATTGAGACAGCCCAGGGGAAGTGCTGTGCAGCAGGTTGCTGGGCAGGCAGCGGTGTCCAAGCAAGCACCTCCGTGTTCCTGCGTTTCTTGTCCCTTCACTCTTCCCTTTGGACTTGTCCCTACTGCGCGCCTGGCCAGGCCTGAACGTCCCTCTCGTGTGCGCCGGTGCCCTCGGGCCCTGGCTAATCACTAGGGTCCAGGAGGACAGAAATTAGAGTTTTTGACTCTGTAAAGACTCCTGTGCCCAGGGTCAGCAAAGGGTGAATCTGAAATGGTTTATAAACTGGAAGGCAGAAATCAAAATCCGCCCCTTAGACTTCTAAATAATTAGAAATTTCAGGTAAATGTTTTCTGGACAAACTTCTGCAGCGAATGCTCTAATATTCCAAGCCTGCGGGTTCGATTATGCTAGATTATGCTTTAATAATGTATGATTCAGGGCATAGAAAACAGGTAGCAAATGAACAAAACAGCTGAGGCATTAACATGCACCTGAGTGCATCCAAGATGAGCTATGAATTTTATTTGCACTTGCACATTTCACATTATTTCTGCTCTCATGGCTTGATTCCAAGGAGTTGCCTGCCAATTTCTTTTTTTTTTTTTTTTTTTTTTTTTTTTTTTTTTTTTTTTTTTTTTTTTTTTTCCAGCAGGAAATGGAAACCTATGGCACATACCAATATCAATATACAACCCACAGCCCAGCTCTGAAGTTGTCACTGGCAATAAGGGAATTATAGTCAATTCCGGCAAATTATATTGGCAGACCGTACTTTACTTTTTATTGCTTTGTTTGTTTGTTTTTGGCAAAATTAGATGTCAAAATGTGAAGTCTGGCCCTGTTCAGTGGCAGTGGTTCTAGCTGGAGTGTCTGGCACGGGAAGACCATAACTGGTGGGTTGGAGCAGCTTTCCTCTCGGTGCTGTTAGTGACCCGTCTGCCTCCACGCGTGAACACGAAGGCTCGCAGTTGTTACCTGCAGAGCTTGGCTGCTCAGGACAAGCTTGAGCTGCTCCTGGGGCTCACTGCAGAGGTGGCCTTGGCTGGTGTCTGCGTTCGGTCCGTGACAGTTGCTGTGAGCAGGGCTTGGGCTCAGCAAAACGCTGCTTCTGTCCCCTTTGTCAGAGCAGTGGATGGTGCTGGGGGTGCAAGGTCAGGCTCTGTCCGTGTTGGGCCTCACTGCCACAGGAATACAGGAATCCCAGGATGGCCGAGGTTGGAAGGGASCCCYAGKRATCCCCCAGCGCAGCCCCTGCTCCCGCAGGGACACCCAGAGCACGGGGCAYCCGGGCRCATCCCGGCGCCTTGGGAAGATCTGCAGAGCAGGAGCCTCCGCAGCCTCCCTGGGCAGCCTGGGCCAGGGCTCGGGCACCCTCACACCAAACAAGTTCTTCCTCACGGCCACACGGAGCTGCCTGGGCTTCAGCTTACATCCATGTTCTGTTTATCCACGTTCTATCCATGAATCTGTTTATATTGCAGTATGTAGGAACGTTACATGACATAACTGTTCCTACCCCAGCGCTGGTGAGCAGGTCTATTTTCTTGCAACAAGAATTAGATATTACCCCTTTTAAAAAGTTGCATTCGCTCCCGGGGAAAGGCATGTTCTCTGAGAGGTAGTCTTGATGCATTACCGGGAATAGCTCTCCTGGAGTAATTTCCCAAGTAAACAAGCTTGAAAAATTATAAAGAATGAAGAACCTGGTGGCAGCCCTCATCAAGGGCAAGATTAAATARCAAGTTAAAGAATTAGTGCAGTAATTCTTTAAAGATGATGACTGCTGTGTTGATTGCTCTGGGACTAACCCTTCTATCATGTGGTGTAGCTTCGTCTGATATAACTCTTTGGTAGAACTTCACCTCGTGTAGCTCCATAGAAGTTATGTAAATCATAAATCCAGGCTAATCCAGCATAAATCCAAAGAAATGAAAATCAGCATCCAAACACAATAACTGTCTCGGAACTGAGCAGTCCTAGCCCATCCATCTGTTCTAAATTCAGGATTGGAGGCACGTTATGGAGATGACTAAATGGAAATAMAAAAGGCACAAACCAAAGTAGCTGGGAAGCAGGAGGCAGACATGACAGCTCTTGTAATTCACGTGGCTACAAGTGACTTTGAGTTTTGCTGCTAATTACACGATCTCGGGATAAGCTCAGTCTCTGATAGTCTGGCTATTCTGTGCTATATGTACTGGGATTGCAAGCTGGAGGAGAATTCAGACTGAACTTTATTTGGCTGTTTCTGAGTTGAGAGATGACTCTGTGGAGTAGGCATGGCCTAGCGCAGCTGTGGGTTGCCATCCCTTTCCAGTAGTGATTTGGTGTTCATGGTGCGTCCCCGAGATGGTTTCCTGATCCGCGAGGCTCCCTTTGATGGGCTGACTCGCGGGCGGCGTTGAGCAGGTCCCTCCGTGCCGTGGGGTCTGCCCGGAGACGCGAGGGACGGGGTCGGAGCGCGTCGGGCGCCGTCTGCGCGCGGCGCCCTGTGCACTGAGGGCCACGGCGCCYGGGCGGTGGCATCAGGGAGCCCCTGGTTGATGGCCACGACGCGCTCATACACGGCAGGGCTCTGCCATGCGCAAGGGGTGTTGGCCACACGCTCCTCGCTGGCACACGGGCTGGAGGAGGGGGTGTTTATTTCCCTGTGACGTCTCCAGGGSTTGGCGGATGTGGGGGAAGCCAGTGTGGCAATTCCAGTGTTCCTGAAAAGTCTTTCTGCTCCTATGGTATCCATACCCTGTCTGTGTGCTGCTAGGGCCACACAGGTTCTCACAGGGGACCATCAGATCATCCGTTAAGCGTTGTGCTCAGGAATCATTCAGTAGATGCTCTAAGAGTGTATAGTGTCAGAGAGCACTTGCTTTTGCTTTTCTTTGCCCCCTGAAACACTCTCAAGACCCCTGACCTTCCCCTAGCAAGAGCGATATCACAGAATCACAGAATCACAGAATGTTCAAGGTTGGAAGGGACCTCTAGAGATCATCTAGTCCAACCTTCCTGCTCAAGCAGGCACACCTAGAGCATGTGGCACAGGGTGGCATCCAGGCGGGTTTTGAAGACCTCCAGAGTAGGAGACTCCACAACCTCCCTGGGCAGCCTGTTCCACATGAGTGTAGACATTCATTCCACAGAAATCATGCAGCCCAGGTGGTCTTCTGCCTCTATTTGTGCCGCAGGACCTTTCGTGCATCTGTATTCTTGTGCATGCCCCTGAGCTGAGAGGCTAGTTTGGAGAACACCAGGCGCRTCTTGGGGTGAGTAGTTCAGCTTTCTATGCAGAGCAGCCCTCCAGCTTATTCCTGTGACCTTTTTGTTTGCTGTGTTTAGTCTGTCTTGCTGATTATTTGATTGTGTGCCATGGCATCACCAGAGTAACAATCATTTGCTGTGATATAACTAATCTAAATGCAATCCCAATGAAACTTTGTGCCTACTTCTTCTCCTTGAATAATTAGCAAAGTAATTAAGCTGATACCATCGGATGAACATGTATTCATCAGTATATATCAGACATGATGGAGGTTTAACGTATTACACATAGGTATAATTGGRTATACTCACACCCCCTTGATTCAACAGCAATGTCCTAATTACATCTGTTCTGCACGACTCTGGAGCTCTAGACACGTCGTCGTGCACTTAGAGCTACTGCAGGAGCTGGGGTTCATCAGCATCCTCCCTTTCACACACACTTATTATTTTGTTCCTCTGCAGGCTCGGCTAGAATATAAAAGCAGAGCGGACGTTGTGGCGAGAGGCTGAGCTCGAGCGCGAGGCCTGTGGCCTCGCACGTGCCCGGGCCCGGGATGACARCTAGCAGGAGCGCATTTGGGGTCTAAGCAGATGAGGAACGTGAAGGGAGGCAGAAAGGGAGCAGCCAGGTGGCTTAGTTCCTCTCAGAGAGCTGGTGAGCAGCAGGAACGTGCGTAGATCTCAAGTCGTGAGGAAGAACAGCAGAGGGATGCGTTCTGTGACTCTCTCRCTTTCAATACACCAAGTGCCTTAAAAGACAGCTTAGTTTGGGTAAGTTAATGCAAGCAGAACGGCTGAAAGTCCTGAAGCCCGAGTGCTCTGCTCAGTCTGCACCACGCTTTGCTCAGGGGACAGCTGGCTTGGAAGCGGCTTAGCAGTAGCCAGCTCAGTCCACGTTAGAAATACCAGCATTGTATTACTCCAAGCATTGTTTCTGCTCTGTGTCACACATTAATCAATGACAGGTGATATAAAAATGTTACTAGCTTGTGTGTGACTCACTATTTAATCTTTAGCACTAAGAAAAGTGACTTTAAATACAGCTAAGTTTGCCTCGCCCATCTGAATGCTCAGATATAGTAATAAACATGACTGGATGCTTTTAAGAGTGGCATTGTTCATTGCCAAGGGTCATGAAAAAGGCATGATATATACCCATAAAACCAAATAACATGCAAGATTTATATCAAACATCCCTGGGATACATAAAGAGTTGAAATAAATAGCTGGACAGCTTGCAGTATTGGAATTCTGGGCCCACTATAGCATTTACTCTA